TATTTTAATTGCGGCTTCATTTCCCTCTGCCGATCTGGCTAATCTACATGCCTCCGTCGACGGAGACATGTAGTCTAGACACACCCCCAGATAATAACAGTTTTCTCTGATAACGATCTATTGAGAAATAGCGATTAGTAAGTCATTTCCACATGCTTTACAGAAAAGAAATAACAAAGACACTGCCTGATCTTACCACACTGACCTATGCTCGCAACCTGTGCTGATCTTATGATCTCTGTATCCCACGCTACCCAGCCTAAGGAAGACGTTTCTTTGATGGGATTTGACTAGAACTGGTTCTTGGACACAACACGGGGAAATTCTGTCACCGTGTAACAGATTATAATTCAGAAAAATCCCAAAAAGATAAGATTCATTCCCCAGGATTAAAGGAAACTAAAGGTAAGTGTTTGCTAAATAGATTCTTTGCTGTTGATTGTTTTCTCTCTCCAACTCCCTATGTCACCTCCTCCCACATACATCAATGGCTGACAGTTCCTCCCAAGGTCTTTTCCTCTGTCTGTCTGTCTCTCTCAGCTGCTCCCTGCCCATAAGGCTTTCCTCTCATCACTTTCTGTCCCTGCCATCCCCCAGAACTGTAACCTCCTTGGCTATTTCTCAGTCACATCCACTGAGATCTTCCCATTCCAGGTCATTAGACAGCAGAGTGAGTAGAATGGTCAGTGAAGCACAGGGCTGGGGATAACCACGTCTCTCAATCCCCTCGGTCTGCTCTGCTAACAGATGTGCACATGCAGTAGGTTTAAGAGGAAGGGGCCACCTAAGAGGAAGGGGCAGCAGATGATTCATGAGGACTGAGGCATCCACAATGTTCCCACCTCCTGCAGAGACCAGCTTTCATAATTCTGATAATATTAATGGGAACGAATGCTCCAGAGACAGTTTTACTGAATCACCATTAACAGCATCACTCTGCTCATCTGGGTGCTGACTAATGGTTCCTCAGCTTCTGCATTAAGAGCCCTTCCAGATCTCTCCCAAAGTCTGGCTTACCCAGCTGAAACTTCCTCCTCCTTGGAAGTGACTGTAGCGTATTTACCTCTATAGCCCCAAACACTCCTCCCTCCTTCACCCAACAAGTGACTGCAGACTCCTCTTCTGCAGCCCCCACCTGCTACCTGATCCTGGGCTTTAAACTGGCTCCCTCCTCTTCTTGATACATTGAGTTGCCTGTGTAATCACTGCACCCTATCCAGTTAATTGGGGTACATGCCCCCTTAAATCCTTCCAGTCTTGTGTGGAGTGGACACGGCCTCAAAACAACTTTGTATGAAATGTTGTTTCAGGTGCGTAACTCAGGAAAGGCTTGATTTAAGTACCCCGGGTAGAGACTTGCTTTAGTTTCATCAGACAGAGATGAAATCACTCACCTCTCCCCAGTATAAACTGTTTCTCTACCCAAGTGTCTTAGACCCTGACCCACAAAGGCATAGAGATGCCTAACTTCCAACTAGCTTTGTACATTTAGGTCTCAGCCTCAAACAGGGACCTGCCCGGTCCAAAGAGAGCTTTGTGGGTGCGTCCAAGGATCTGTTGACTTACCTGGTGTCTATCCCCATTCTGTTAAGATCTGATCACTTATGTCTGGTCTGCTCTCACAGCCTGGCTTCCCATGTGTTCTGGTCTGCTCTCTGGGCTGATCCCTGGGCCCCTGTCTCAGGCTGAATTTTGGTCCCTGGCATCTAGCAACAACCACATCAGGAATTCAAACCCAAACTACATGGTTCATATCTCTATCTCCTCGTCCCCATGGTAGTTAATATGACATTCTTTGAAGGCCACTCCTCAGATATTTAGGCTGAAATCCTACTCTAGACAGGCAATTCCCTTCCTAAATAAGAGGTAAGTAGGTAGGGTAGGTGGGCAACAGGAAGTCAGGACTAAGTTTCCCCCCCTATTTTCAGGAAAACGAGGAGACTGGGGATATCTCCTCTCTTTGAACCCCTCAGCTGCTTGTGAGAACAGTGCTGGTTTTATCACATTGTGGAATATACTTACTAGTTTCTTTCTTATATAGCCATTGGGTGATCTCTATCTATTGTATTTCATTTGTGAACTGCTCCTTTTTTCAGTCCTTCTGGAATTATGGACATTTATTAATGATCACACTTAATACAGATTGTAACAACATGTGTTGTTTAAAAATATCAATATTTACATTAATTACTTTGTATTGAAAACCTTTCGTTTTCTTGAACATTATGCTTCGGGTGTGCACAAGAGTCACCATTCAGTGCCATTTCTTGTTACATCCACCCTGTCAAAATGCATTTTTTTCAATCTCTCTTTCTGGTTGGTGGATTTACAGTAAGAAACATACACAGCCTACTTGCACCTTAATTTAAAAAAATATGGCAGGTGATGTATTTTGGCAGTGCAAGGAATACATATTAAAAGCAAGATACCATAGTGATGGGCATGTCAAAGCAGATACAAAATCCATAATCAAAGGTCCCAGAAGTATGTTTAGTAAAAATTACAGAAAAATTAAACAGTTAAGCAAGTGATGATTTTCAAGATAAGTAACAGTCAGTTACAGCCTAAATATAGTAGGTGAATTTCGCAGATTAAAGTGGTTTTTTTCTTATCTTTTCCATGAGACTTAATCGTTAGAAAACTACTTCCATTATGCTTAGCAGATCAGAAGGAATCATGTACAGGGAGCAGAGACCTGATACTTTCCAATATCACAAAGCTTCCTAGTACTCATGCAAAACCTCTGATCTCAATGTATATCCCTGTCCAGTGCATTGCAGGTATTTAACACATGGGAACCATTATGGACTAGATGTCAGATGTGGCACAGGAGCACACAGGGAAATTTTTAGTATCCTGAAAATAGAGTATTCCTCAAATAACTTTTGGAAAAGGACCCTATGGGGAGAATCTCAATTACTGACCAACTGAACTTAATAGTCTAAGTTGGATCCACTCTGCTCTAGGTCCAATACATACTTAGTCATTACTTCAAGACATTTCAGTACACACTCATTTCAATAGAGGGAAGCAAGGTAAGGATTTAGTGGATGGATTCTGTATTCTTTGTCATCATTAACACTACGGGCATCTTCTTTTTCTCTCTCCCAGTATCCATTCTGAACCCCTGTCTCTTTTCTATCATTCCCTTTCCATAAATAATAGACAGCCCTTCCAATATCTTTCTTCCCCCACTGCTCCTCTCTCCAGCTTTAGCTGTCTCTCTGCCTCTGCATCCAAAGTGGTCAACACCTATTAGCCTTTCTCCTTGTCTCTCAATGTTAATAACCCCCCTCAAGGTCATTATGGCTCTGGATATCTCACACTCAGGACCTGGCAGTTTCATTGCAAGAAGCCTAGGAGAAACTGAAAATCACTAAAACACAGTGCGGGGAAAGTCTGAGACACTGATATCTCATCTGGTCTCTGCCTACAGGTGTGTGTGAGAGGGGTACAAGGAGAGTCCAGCATCCAGCAGCAAAGGTTTCGTGATGACTGAGTTGAGGACAACACCCCTGCCCCAAATAGAGTCCAGCCTGAAAAATGGAATCAAACATATTTTGAACAATTCGAAAACATTCAATCCATCTAGAGAACAACATGTAGATAACTCACTAATTTATGTTTGTCTGCTCATCTGCCTGTTGGGGCTGGTGGGAAATGGGATCGTCCTCTGGTTCCTTGGCTTCCGTATTAAGAGGAACCCCTTCACCGTCTATGTCCTCAACCTGGCTGCTGCTGACTTTGGTTTCCTCCTCTTCTTGGCTCTTTACCGCTTGGGCTTTATATTGAAATTATTTTACTCATTAAAGTACTTGGACTTGTTGCTTGCGTTCACGTACAGCTCGAGCGTGTCCCTCCTGACAGCCATCAGTGTGGAAAGGTGCATGTCTGTCCTTTTCCCCATCTGGTACCGATGCCGGAGCCCCAAGAACATGTCTGCCATTCTCTGTGCCTTACTCTGGGCTCTCTCCTGCCTGCTCACTGGACTGGGAGCATATGTTTGCTTTTCTGACTCCTATGAATGTTGTCAAAAGATGCTCCTCCAACTCACTAGCATGAACTTCCTGATATTCACCCCCATCACAGTTCTGTCAAGTCTGATCCTCATCATCAAGGTCCAAAGAAGTTCCCTGCGACACCGGCCAAGAAAGCTCTACATTGTTATCTTGCTCAATGTCCTTTTCTTCCTCCTCTTCATTCTTCCCTTCTGTATTGTCACCTTCTTCCAAAAAGCTATTAATTATGACTATTTTATTAATTCCAGTTTCATGCTGGCCTCTCTCAACAGCAGCATTAACCCAGTTATTTACTTCCTCATTGGGAGCTATAGAAATCAAAAATTTAGGGGATCAGTCAAAAAGGCACTCCAGAGCGTGTTTGAAGAGGAGGCAAATAACAAAGACGATAGCGTTAGTGCTACTTAAATCCCTATGGCAACCAACCTGGAAGACCCTATTATGGGCTGAATGTTTATCTAGGAAAATGGCTCTATGTTATTAGCCCAGTAAGGACACTTAATACAAAATGAGCCATTAAAGAAATTTATCCTTCTCAATGAACCCTCCTTGTGGATACCTCATGCAGCAAGACACCACTGGCCATCCTTGTGACTCAGCAAACCATGGAATGATATGTGAGGATGTCATATAACCTAAGACTCACCCTGGGCCAGAAACTTTCCATTCACAGGTGCGGTGGGCTTTATTTGGGACACATGTACATAGGACAGGCCCCGAGATACCTGCATTTTTCCCCTTTGCTGCTTTAATTCTCTAGACTATGGATTTACACCTAAAAGGGCCATCTTCATCCATGGAGTGAGGACCTACCAATCTTTAAGAAGTGTCTAGAGAGACTTTTGCCAGCCAGCAGCCTGTCCCATCATTTCTACTAAACTGATAGAAGTATATTGCAATCATTTGTAATTAAATGATCTATTAACCATTTACACCTCTATTTTGTTCTTGATACATATTGACCTGGAGGTAATTGTCTGATCCTTTGTTGTCAGTACCTCAGTGTTTTCGTACCTCAGTACCTTCGGTGGTCTGGACTGTCAGTGTCAGCGTCGTCTGGTCAGAGTCGTCCTGGCATGCTCCTGACAGGACCTCTACTCCGTCGGTGATAATAAACTTTCAGCTGCATGCGTAACAACTCCCTTTATCTAGAGTGTTAGACCCCGTGCACTTTACTTCAACACAGGAGATCTCTGAGAGGTGCCGGAAACGACATATGCAGGCAAGGTTTGAAATCAATTGAGCAGGTTTATTGTCAAATGCGAAGCTCTGCCAGTTGGTAACAGAGATCAGCACAATGTTACACCGCAGGGCACTACGGCCCGCGTTGACAAGGTACCAACACCGGGCAGGCCTATTGCTATATATCAGATATTAACAGCAGTTAGTCAAAGATAAGCTACTGTGCATTCTGTAAGTTTAGGCAATGACACCTGCCGTTCAAGCACCTAGTGCGCCCCGCCCCCCCCAAGCCCCCCCCCCCCCCCCCCAAGGTCGGCTGGAGAGCACCCTCTGCGGTGTCCTTTTATACACAGGTACAAAGAACTTACATCATTTCTTTACGTACCAGCTTACCACCCTCTGTTGCCTAGTTACCACCCCTCACCTTATGGAAGGGGGGCTTAATGACTGTCCCTCATGCTGTCAATTCCGACCTGGTCCTGAACCTAGGTCGGTATGTGCATTAGTTTTTAGGGAGTTTTTGTACCAAGACATTTCTTATTAAGATGTTCCATTACTTCCCTTTGGCTTACAGTCTATACCCAGTGCCTCCCTGTGTCCTTCCATGCTCGACCTAACTTACACAATCACACAGTTATCAATAGGGCTTCTTTCTTGGTTCCTGTGTTACTGAACCAAAGTCTTGCTCACTAGATTGCAGGCCTGTTGCTGTTTTCATGTTGCAGGCCTTAGGCCTGCTGATTCCATGTTACTGACCCTCAACTTACTACAAGAACCTCACGTATGGCGAAATTCTCCTGGAGCAATTCTGCAACAACGTGTAATGCAGGATTCTGCAGAAATTAATGTTGTGTGCACAGAATCCTGCTCCCAACACACAGAGATAAATGGGCTGTACAGATACTGGCCATCACTAGAGACTGCTGGTGGAAGAACACCGGCAGGGACCTAGCAGCTGCAGTTCACAGCACAACCCTATGTGTAGCTAGCCTACAAATCTGTAGGCATAGCCCACATATTCTGCTAGCGTTTCTACAGCTAAGGTCGATAACATCTGCATTTCTCAGAATGATAAACCAGTGGTGGGCAAACTGAGCCGCAAGCCACATCCAGCCCACTGGGCCTTTTCAACCTGCCCTTAAGCTCCTGGTGGTGAGTGGGATTCCAGGCTATCCTGCTCTGCTCATTGCTAATCCACCAAAGAAAGGAAATTAACCAGATAAGCACTTCTGCTCCATAACAGTACTTGCCTCCTTAGTTATTGCCCTCCGACCAAAATGATTGCCCACTCCTAAGAACAAAGCAAACACAATTTTAGATTTTGAAATTGGGAAGAGGCCCTCTGAATTATTCTTGCACCTGCGTCTTTTAAGGCCTATCTTGTCCCTAGGGGAAAGCCTGAGCCCAGGTAGAAGGTTTGGGAAAGCCTCCTTCCTCCTCTCAGGAGAAGCAGCAACAGGTACTGTTGACCTAACCACCTCTTTTCTTTCTCCTGACCAGTCTCTTTGACAGGTGATTGGCCCAGGAACAACAGAGTGGACTTTAGCCCAGCCCATAGCTCCTCCCGGGCAGAGCAGGCATTCTTCTTCTCCGCTGATACATGGGCCGGCAGCAAGGAGTTAGGATGGGATTTCCTCACACTGATCTCACCAACCAGCGTTCTAACGCCAGCTCCCCTCTCTGCTAAGCCTCGTATCTCACAGGGCTCGTGGGCCTGGAGCTTTCACATTGTGGCCATCTGTATGGGGAGGGGTGCCTCCACTCTTGTTTCCTTCTCTTATACCTCGTGGGTCATATAAATCCATTGCATTATCGGGGCTTTTTCGTGGAAAACAAATCTCAGCTGTCTACACTGGCCCTTTTGCGCAAAAATTTGCACAAAAGGGACTTTTGCCTGAACGGAAGCAGCACAGTCTTGCTTCCTTTGCCCCTCCTTCTCCTCGGTCTGGGCCTCTGGCATCCTCTCACCCCAGACCTGGCTTCCCCCCAGGACCTAGCTACCCCCAGGTTCTTTCCAGACACCTCAGAGCATATGTCCGTGCATGGCAACAGTGCCCCATCACAATGTTGAATTAAAAGAGTGTGGGAACTATCTCTGACTTACCATTAAGAGAGATGGTTACTATCGTTTGGCCCCTTTGCATTTTTCTGGATTATACATTTTTAGTAATTTGTGAATTAAAATTACATAATACTCTACACCTTACCCTCCACCTGCCACCCCAACATGCAGAAGAAACCGACTCACAGATGCTCTCTGTAAGGGATAAAAAATGGGTGAAAAGAATGAGTCAGACTCTCCTACAGGACATTCTCCTGATGACTCTACAGTGGGGAAAGATCCTGGGAGCATTTCTCCCTTTCAACCACCGTAGTAACCCGATTTAAGGTACGTCAACTCCAGCTCTGTCATTGGCATTGCTGGAGTGGCGGAACTTAAGTCAACTTTCTGCTGTAGGCTAAGGAACGAAAGAAGTAAGAACCTCTCTGAATGAGATATCAATACCCTTATGTTGGCACTTTCATCTCAGATCTGCCTATGGATGTCATCTGTTTCCCACAAGCAAACATCAACAAGACAAAAAAGATCAAGGAACCAGCCAACACGAAGAAGCGGTTCTCTAGTCCAGCTCTGTTTCTGCATAACATCACATCTCCCACAGTTCAACATAATGACTAAGATAATGTTTGCAGAAGCATCACCAAAAGATTACACATCATGTACATGTGATCCTTACAACGGGAGATTAAACTTTCTCTTAATTTCCAGATAGTTAAGTCTCCTGGAGAGATGTAAGGTATCAAGATTATAATTTTGATAAACAGAAAAATAGCAATAAGCAAGAGAAATTTCCTTCCTTTGCCTGTCTCAAAACCACTCCATAAAGTGAATGTTATGGGGTCCACACACTTTTAAGGGCATCTTCTCCCAGTTGCTTCTGGGATTAGCTCTTTCCAGGTGCTCACCCTTGTGGTCTCTTCCTCTGTCCTGTCTCATGCTGCAGCCCTTTCTTCTCCTCACACAACACGTTCCTCTTCATGACTGGGCCCTCCAGCCAGGTCCTTGTGATACTGCCCTTCCAAGGCAAACTCTCCTAGGCCAGCCATGCTCCCCTCTGTGCCTGCACCACTTCCCCACTGGCTGATAGGGAACCTGGACTCCAGCGGCCTATTCATCAGCAACTCAAAAGCTGAAACTCCCTCCTTCCAGGGAGTGACTTACTGCTATAGCCCCAAACACACCTCCCTCCTTCACCCAACAAGTGACTGCAGCATCCCTCTCTGCAGCCCCCACCTGCTCTCAGTTTCTGGGCTTTCTACAGGCTTCCTCCTCTATCTGCACCACTGAATTCCCTGTCTAATCAATTCCCTGCTCCCCGGATCCTCCTCCAGGTACAACCTGAGCAATTAATTGGGCTTCATGGCCACCAAAAGCCTTTTTGTTTTAAATAAAACCCTGCTATTTCAGGTGAGTAACTCACAAAAGACTTGGTTTCAGTACCTCTAGTGGAGACTTTCTTCAGTTTCATAGGATTTAATTAAGACGCTCTCCTCTACCCATTTATAAATTGCATCTCTGCCCAAGTCTCTATGGCCCAGACACAAAAGTCTATGGACACCTAACTTCCAAATAACTTTCTGGATCTGGGTCTTACTCTGAAACATGGATCTGCCTGGTGCAATGAGAGCTTTGTGGGTGAGTCTTAGTGTCTATTGCCTTACATGGGGGCTAACCCCTTTCTGTTCAGATCTCCTCATTTATGTGTGGCTTGTTCTCCAGCCTGGCTACTCATGTGCCCCAGCCTGCTCTCTGGGATGATCCCATAAGCCCCGTCTCAGGCTGAATTGTGGCCCCTATCATCCAGCAACAATTACAACATAAACTCAAACCTAAACTATCTGGTTCCTCTCTCACCCCAATGGCAGCTAATATGGAAACTAGGAGAAATTACAAAGGATGAATATAGGCAAACAATTCAGGGATTCAGGGGCAAAATTAGAAAGGCAAATGCACAAAACAAGCTCAAACTAGCTACAGGCATAAAGGGAAACAAGAAAACAGTCTATGAATATATTAGAAACAAGAGGAAGATCAAGGACCGGGTAGGCCCATTGCTCAGTGAGGAGGGGGAAACAGTAACAGGAAACTTGGAAATGGCAGAGATGCTTAACGATTTCTTTGTTTCGGTCTTCACTGAAACATCTGATGAAGGAATGCCTATCAC